CACATTGAGAGAATTCAGCTGCCTTGGCGGAGGTCTGTGCTCTCCGAGTGCTCTAGTTATTCTTATATTGTTCTCCTTTTCTATCCTGTTATCCTTTTTTCGTCTATACACATACAAAACAAGCGGAACAAAACAAAACAAAGCAACAAAACAAAAAGAAAAGAAGATCAAAACAAAAAATGACATCAGTGAACGTCACGCACGAACTCGGCTATCTCCGAAGTTGAATGCAGTAACTTCCGAACATCTGAACATGGGACACACACATAATAGGCCTAACTCACTTTGATCAAGGATATACACAACACATGTGTTGTTGTGTATATCCTTGCTTTGATCAATTAACATCCGAACGCTGATACAGTATTAATTGTGTTTGAATATGAATTTAATTTGAGTTGCAGTTTGCTCTCTAATTTGAAATATTATCTACTAATATATTACCATATATATACTAACATAATATCATTTGTGTAACTATGACTGTAATAAAGTGGCTGTAAATAAAAGTTGAGTCCCAGCCGGCAAAATTGAGTTCCCACACGCGTATTTTAGAGGTTGAATGAAATATCCAAACGCGTGTCCGAAACGTCAGGAACCCCCCAAAGAAAACACGTGTTTTTTTAGTATATAACGCAGGTTTTCCTGTAGTTTCTAAGACATGTCTGAACATGGTTCCAAACCCGCATCCATTTTAGTTCTTATAACATGCAATTATACTAGGTTTCATACCTGCACTTTTCATGGGGTTTAAAAGCAGGTTTTCAGAAGTTTAAAACTCGTGTTTTGAATAAATCTGTCGCCACAACAAAAAAACATTGAAAATGCGTGTTTAGAACTCCACGATAGAACACGTGTTTTTCCATCGTTTCCAACGCGTGTTGGATACGGCACGTGTCGACCTGGCCTGCTGGTGTTGGTCAGTTTACTTTCTAATTTGATACATTACTATCTTCAGGGTTCGAAATTAACGCTTGCGCACTCACAAAATGCGAGTGGATTTCCGAAATTGCGAGTAGAAAATATAAGCACTTGCATTTTTGTGCGAGTGACATATAATCTGTTAATCAAAATGACTATTAAAATCAAACATCCCATATCCAGGCATTTTAAAAGTAACAATTAAGTTGTCAACATAAGTCATAACGGACCAACTAATAACTAGACCAACTAATTTCTGCAAAATTATAAACACGTACTGTCTACAAACTGAGTAAGGATTATAAACCTCGCACGATCGGCCGCTACCGAGAGTATCCTATCTTCATGCTTTGTAGCCAGGTTTAATAAAGTCGTCTCATTGAAGTGTTATCATATCACACATCAAAAATAATTGTATTAAAAATGCGAGAGTGTTTCGGATTTTGCGAGTTGAAATTTGATCCACTCCCAAAAAATTGCGAGTGGTTTCAAAAGTTAAATTCTACCCCTGATCTTACTACTTTCTATGATGCATTATCTGTTTCTAATCTATACTCTACTTACTAATCTATATCTCATTTACCTAATGCTACTGCGCTTTACACCCAGCACTACTGTGCATGCGTCACGCATGCGCACGACGTGCTGGGGTAATTTCAGACTGGGGTAATCTCAGACCGTGACACCGGCAACAATATTTTTACACATATATAGCCTACCAATTAATTATTTAGTAGAACAATTCTTGCGCTTGCAGCGCGGCATTGATTGATGTACCGGGGGGGGGGGCATTGTTTAGGTCACGTTCATTAGTAAATATGTAGGGGGTGACCACCGCTGGGATGAGGGCGAAAGCAAAACTCTTTCTTGGAATTGTGAAAAAAACTGCAATTTAAGGGTTGTAACCTGCTTTGGCACTTAACTACATAATTTAACCCATGCATCAGGTGCCGTTTTGTACAGCCGCGCGACTATTATACTAAATAATTAATTGGTAGGCTATATGTGTAAAAATATTGTTGCCGTGCAAGCGAAGCGCACGCAGGGGGTGTGTCCACGCGAAGTGCAGAATCTCTAGCACTAATTAAAATGGAAGACGTAAAAATCAGTGCTCTCCTCACTCTCTCTCATTTAATTTTATGTGGCGTCAAAAAAGTGGTGGTGCTTTCATCGCTCTAGGGTCATCGGACGGGTTGCTAAGGGGAAGTGACGTCACTCCGCCCCCACCTATAATAATATGGACTGCAGGCCATATAGAAATGGCCTGCAGGCTGCAGATTTAAAAAATATGGCCTGCAGGCTGCAGATTTATTTAAAAAAATATTTTTTGGGCAGGCTACTAAGCAGGCCATTGGGAAAACTCTTGGCACTCCTGATCGCCAGTCCGGCCCTGCTTGTTACTGACACTTCAGAATCCGTGTTTAAATTGAGGCAAATGAGATTTGTATGAGGAAAGAATACTTACAATACAGGTATATTCCTCCTGGGCAACTCATTCAGCGAACCCAGGATTGGAACGAGTAATGAAACTTTTTTCGCCACAAACTCCTATAACTCAACTGTAAATCTGACTCCAACCAAATCCCAATTCTGTTTCAGTTCTATGTGCTCAGGGTTGTACTGGATTTGTATATAAGGACTAGACCCATGCAGTAAACACATTCCTATATGTAGCCATCTATATCTTACAGGTGAGACGTACGTACAACAGCGCTGTACCGGGCGCCGCGATCATTCTCACGACTAGACGTCACCGGCGATGCGACGTGACTCGCTGCCATGACTGACAGCCTGCTAGCCAGCGCGCGCGTGTCTGTCAGCTCCGTACTCAACCGCAACGTGAAGGAGTTCGGCAAGCAGTTCCTCATCGACGGCTCCGACGAAACGTGCTGGAACTCGGACGAGGGTTTGCCGCAGTGGGTGCTGCTGCGGTTCCTGCATCCCGTGCTGATCGCGCGGCTCTGCGTGCGGTTTCAGGGCGGCTTCGCCGGCCGTGAGTGCCACCTGGAGGGCGGTGACTCCCCGCAGACGCTGCGGCGGCTTGCAGACTTCTACCCGGAGGACGTGAATGCACTGCAGACGTTTGACGTGCGTGCGCAGCAGCCGGTCAGTGTCGCGAGACTCGTGTTTGCGAGCAGCACCGACTTCTACGGACGCGTGGTCGTCTACAGTCTCGACCTGCTCGGAGACTGCGCATAGCCGACACATCGCCCCGATACGTGTGCAAGCGCAACTGCTACACCAGTGACCATGGGTGATACATCGTTGGCTGTAGCTGCGCAGTTGACGGCAGCTAATATGTCATTGGCTGTAGCTACGTAGTTGACTGCAGCTAATATGTCATTAAGCATAGCTACGTTGTTGGCTGCAGCTAACACATCATTGGCTGTAGCTACGTTGTTGGCTGCAGCTAATACGTCATTAAGCGTAGCTACGTTGTTGGCTGCAGCCAACATGTCATTGGCTGTAGCTACATTGTTGTTTGCAGCTAATATGTTGTTAAGCTTAGTTATGTCATTGACTGCAGCTAACACGTGATTGGCTGTAGCTACATTGTTGGCTGCAGCTAATACGTCGTTGGCTGTAGCTACGTAGTTGACTGCAGTGAATACGTAGCTCTGCATATCAACGTAGTTGTCTAGCTGATACATATAGCGGCCTATAGCTATGTAGAAGACTAGCTTATATGTGGCTAACTGTTGCTATACAGTTACCCATGGCTATGTAACTGAATGCAGCTTATATATAGCTCGTCATAGCCTCATTGATGATTAATTGTAACTGATAATGATACATAGCTAACCATAGTTACGTATATGACCATAGACTGAGACTTGGCTAACCAGAGTTGACCGTGGCTGACTAAATTTTTGGTCTGGCCAACAGTAAAAATAGATTGCAATGCTACAGTTCTCAGCTGGTAATTTTAGATGACAACAATCAAATTCTGTATTGTGAGATGAGTGTGGCAGCATGGTCAGTGTGAAAACATACTCGATCTGTTTCTTTAAATGCAGCGATGGAAGCGAGCAAGGTAAAACTGTCAGAACCCCGGCGGAAGCCCAGAGCACCACGAGATGAGCCTCCCCTCTTTCCCCTGGTGGTGGAACATGGAACTTACAAATGCTTCTCGGGGATGTTAGTCGATGATGTCGTCGTGGTGACCGACCCTCGGGATGCTGAATTTCTCAGCACCATGGTAATTGTTAATCAATCTTAATCGAGGTGCAGACCAAGGGCTAGAACATCAATGACAGGTAAAATGGTATACAGCATAGAGATGATATTTGTATCCCGATCGTTGAATGCTTTCTAGAACTTTATGAACTAATTACATATATTATGATAGATTCTATGTTATGCTATTACACATCTATTATATATATTATCAGGGGTTAATAAAGACAAACCTTTGTCATTATTAACCCCTGATATTATGCTAAGATAGAACTCCTGATCATAGGTTTCTTTACTTGTCTTTTTTTCATTATTATTCACTGAGTTTATATGATGAATGCAGATGTGTGAATGTATTAATTAGCATTTGGTTTTCGTTAGGGTTTCTTCGGCAAGGGAAATCTGTCGTCAAGAGGAATGGAATACGAGAAGCGAAAACGAGCTAGCGATGGCTACTACGTTATGTCTAAGAGAAGGTTAGTTATGTGTTGTGTAATGGACAGCCCCTTTACAAGACTAGTAATTGTTATCCTCGGACTATGAGCATCTTGAAGTACAACCACCTGGCTTGATGCAGTTGTCTAACGCAAGTAGCAACATAATACAATGCCGCCTACAGAACATAGGTCTAAAAAAAACTCCAACAAATCCGTCTAGCGGCCCAACAGCAACATCTAGCAGCATTCCTCGTAAAATCCCAGTGCTGCCGTGCAACAGCCGAGCGTGCACTGCCATTGCGCGTTTGTCGTGTTGTTGGTATGACTTGTATGCTGGACATGAAATTAGCCAAAATGTGAAGAGGCCCACCCAAAATTTTAAACAGGCCCTTAGACAAATTGAACAGGCCCTTAATTTTGTTCGATTTATTCCATTATTAATAAAAGTATTAGCTTTGTGTTTATTAGGCATACTCGTAGTATTCAGTATTTCATTGCTATCAGTGGAGTTCTACTTGTTTGACAGGAATTGCTGGATTTACTTCTTAGTAGTTACTGAGTAAAAACTAGCCAGGAAATTGGTAAATATCGTTAATATAAAGGCAAGATAGGCAAAATCTTAAATAGGCCAAGTGGACTGATTATATGCGGGGTTGAACAGGCGGTTTAGGGGGTTGAACCGGTGGTTTAGGGGGTTGAACCGGCGGCTGCCAGCAAAATAGTGCTAATTTCACGCACTGTTGTATGTGTGCAGGTATGAGAATCATCTCACATGGCAGGCCATGCAGACGTCAGATGAAACACGCCTGAACATGCTCTCCTCTCCCGAAAACCGCAATGCGACGACAACTAGATGTGCACAGGATGGAGACAGTGTCTCTCCGGGCAAGTCGGGCGAGCGAATGGATGTTCATGTGTCAACGAAATGTGACGAGCCGCACGCCACGGCTTCAGGTGCGTAACCAAGGAGGAAAACCCTTCAGATATGCAGTTGGAATGCCCACCGAGTCGTGCTACTCAACGGGGTGATATGTGCTCATCATTATCCGTGTTCCGAAAATAGGCCGCACAGTGCGCACACTGGTTAAACTGTTTCCTGACTGAAATAGTAACTACAGTAAAACTCGCATAAGTCGACACTTTTAGGACCAGCATATTTGTGCCGACTTACGAAAATGATGACATATGCTCCCCGCCAGGGTAAAAAATACACGGGAGTGATGAGCGATTCGCTCTTCAAACCTCAGAAATCGCTCCTGTGAGGCTCAAAATAGCTCGCGTAAAATTATTGACTAAAGCTATTTTTTCAATAGACTTGAAAAAGAGCTCCCGTGAAAAAACCGAATTTTTCCCCTGCTCCCCTCCCAGGCGCCCGTCACCCCTACGCAGTCATAAACATGCTCCACACACGACGTCAGTTCGCGCCACATACATAGCAGACATGAAACAATCGGGTCCGTACATCAATCGACACCGCTGCTGGCCATAACGCAAGAACATCGTACTCACTAGCGGCAAGCGCGGCACACGATGGCTATCTGTAACACCCACTGTTGATTACACGTTTGGACATTGCAGGACATTTGCGGTGCAGGTCTGCCAAATTTTCTTGGAACACTTGCTGAAAAAATACGGTAATTCCGCGAGGCCGTGCTCTGGAATTAACTAGTTAGTATAGAAGAATTTTCAAGGAGTCACACGGACTCTTGCATATGTCAAATCAGGGAGTCCGACAGTAAATCAGGGTGTATTTAACCAGGCAGCATTGAATGTGTTAAGCACACATCTGCGACAGCCAGCTTGCAGATCCCCTAGAACAGGGGTGGGCAAACTGCGGCCCTCTACGGGGTTCTGTGCGGCCCGCGGAAGCCTGCAGCAAATAAAAAAATAAAAAAATAATTTTTTTTTTTAAATCAATACATTTTTGTGAAAGTCAACATGTTTGTGCTTGAACCGAGGCTGACTTTTTCAGTGTCATACAGATTATTGTTCTATTGTCTCTGGTTCGCTCCAATGGATTTACTATGAGGGAAAATCGGGACTTTGACTTCCATGATGACTTATGCGAATTGACGAGTTAGACGATGACGACTTATGCGAGTATTACTGTATTATTTATTAACTATTTATATTTCTGAAATCGGCTATAACTGCCAACCTCTGCATGTGTTATGTAGTGTTAATTTATTAACAGTATTGAATACAATGAGCAATTGATATAATGTATGTATTTTCTACTTCAGGTGGCAGTGGTAATACCCATGCAGAGAATTTATTAGTCAAGCCTGATAGCGATGAAGAGGTTGAAGAGGGAATGAGTACGGGTGAGAGAGCAGCTGCTCCCACATCACAGCCGTTTTTGGCAATTGATCCTTACCCAGTGACGGAGCACTTGCAATTATACTTGGAAGAGGTACAACACTATTGTTTGTGTACCATTATTTTGTAGTAAGAGGAACGTGCTTTTCTACAGTAACAACTCACACCGAGGTAAATATAGATACTTGGACGTTGTTGCATAGATTCTGTTACTGGCGTGACATACCCTCATATTACGATATCCTGAGTAACATTGTAACCAGTGATCATGTTGATGTCAATACCTTACTCCTGATAACTTAGTGTATAAAAGTTTGGCCCAATTAATTTTGTTTGAAAATAATTGAATGCTTTCTAAACTAACCGCCTTGACTGCCGTAGCAATTTATCTTAAGCAACAATAGCCACACAACCCTTGCATTTACAGGCGTTCTTTCTTGCATATGGACTGGGTTGCCTTTGCGTGACACGAGGAAACGATGCGGAAGCGGTGGCGGCGGCGGCGGCGTCCATGACGCTGGAGGAGCTGTGGCTGTGTTTCTGCTCAAGGCAGGAGAGGTTTGCTGCACGCTACGTCGCCTACCACTACTACCGCTCCCGTGGCTGGGTCGTCTGCTCAGGACTCAAGTACGGCGCTGACTTTAGTACGTGTTGTTGTGTGTACGTTGAGTACGTGACTTTAGTTGTGTAATTTTAAATTGTGACTACAACTGGTTCAGTTACGACAGCCATGACAGTATGCGTACAGTACGTTAACTGAGCTTTTTATGTAAAAAGGTGCAATATAAATTAATAAAATAATAATAATAATACGTGTAAGCAGGGGGCGTTATCACACAGAGTCGATTGGATGCCAGAGTTGTGAGACTGAGATTGTTTACGAATGTCGTTCATGCCGTGACTGCTTGAGAAGTGTGTTTTTTATATCAGGCTTTCCTTATCTGCCATTATTATTTATTATTCCTTATTTTCTTTATTGACAAATCTTTTTGCCAAAAGTCAGTTATTTTGTGTAAAACGTCTAGAGAGTTTAATACAGTCATTATTGCGTCGTGTAAAACATAACCGAGGCTTTTGCAAGAGACAGCAGACCTTTATATGACTCTAAATCACAAGACTGAGGTTACAAATGTATTCCAAACAGATGTATAAGCGACGTGAATTTTTCAGGTCTTTACAAAAAGGGGCCACCCTACTACCACTCGACGTACTCTGTGATTGTTAAATACATAGATGGCGCTACTATGGAACATATTGGAAATGAGCAGCCAAGTTCGTGGAAGGCACTGGCTGCCCTGGATAGAATCACGCAGCAAGTGGGAAAGGTAATTGATGAATTGGTACCTATTCTTGCAACAACTTGCACATCAAAATTCCTTTTCTGGAACATTAACCTGATATGACCTAGTGTGTGAAGTAGACCTAACCTATTTTTCTGCTGGTTTGCATCTAGGAAGTGTTGTTCTGTCACGTGATCAAACCTGTGGGCTTGACACACGAAGACTATAGCTCACCTGAGTGCATATCTTCCTTCACTGTCCAGGTAATAAAATTCCATTTAAACTGCCTCGAAAACAAATTGCGCTTTAGTAGTAACATTTAAAGGAACAGTAGCCTCTAGGTTCTAGGGTTATTTTCAGCTAATTTAGGTTATAATTGCGCTACATAAAAAGTTTCATGGTTCAATCACCATTAGAAATATTTTTAAAAAGTTTTAAAACTAACGACTACAGTTTGATTACAACGACGGTGGCGCCACTGCAACAGCGCACAGATCTGAGAAAGTTGCGGCAAACCAATTTTCAGCCAAGGGCTCACAGACCTCGAGGGTATCTTACTTATTTATTACATGTTAAAAGCAGAAAAGGATTGTTTTAATATCTTAATAAACGACATATAGGTGTTCAGTTATAAATATGGATAAATGTTTGCCCTAAACAATGATCATGTCATCGGCTCCGCTGTAAAAATAGCATTTAGGTTATATAATATACAATGCACTTTCGATGATTAGCGCCTCCGGGTATTTACCCGCAAAAATAAAAATGCAAATACTGCAAGCGTTTTTCGAGGTGGCAGCACGGGTCGGCGGGGTGTCATGGCGCCCCGTTCAAAATTTCGTAGCGTTGATGTGTAAATAATTAATTAAGTATCTGGTGACAAATACATGTGGGTATAGACGATTTGTTATACAGTAAGTACAGTTGTATGCAGTAAAATCCTAGAGGCTACTGTCCCTTTAAAAAAATATGAAATCTATCTTGGTATGTTCTCAGCAACATGTAACTATACTGGGTCACCTGTCACTGGTGGCGCCCTCGGGTGTCGCCGGGAGAGCACAAAACGCTACATCTCAATAAAAACACATTTCCAGGGTTTCCTTCTTATGCCAAATTTAATTAATCTGTAACAATTTTTAGTGAAGCCCGTATAAATCATAAATTGCACTGCAAGTAAACGTGTCTGCAGTGACACACACAGCCTGTGCATGATGAACATATTTCGTAATCACGTGTTTTTTTCTAGGAGGTTCTGTTACGTCGATGGGTGCCCTCTGAGGGTCGGATGGAGGAGAGTGGTGACTGCAGTGCGGATCAGCTGTAAACAGCATAACGTCCTATTACCATGTATTATATTGCCATCACATGATATCAACTTATGTGATATATATATGCCTTACATGACTGTGACATTCAAGCAAGGAAGTAGGACATGGTACCATTGTCCAGAGTGGTGAAATCAACGCCTAACTATATTATTAATGTAACAATGTTTAATGTGATTTATAACACTGTAATAAAAGTGTGCAACTCAAAAATACTCCAGCTGTGAGTGTTTATGTCAAACTGTCAAAGCCGATGCACTGCAGTAAAGATGATTTACTAATAATTTTCTGCTACAAATGCCATTTTCTAATTTTCGTGTTTAAGCCATATTCCAGCACGAATCAGCCTGAAATCGAGTAGCCTCATAGACTAATGCTACAAAACTACTGATTTGTGCTCTGTGATACTGACACTATTTTGATAATTCGACTGCACTTTGCTTACATTTTTTACATGCGGTGAAACACGCGCCAGTGTTTTTGCAATGAATACCGTACACATTGCAACTGTCATTCTATAATTAAACAGAGAGAGGGAGATGGGGAGAGCCGACCTTATATTTGAGGTTCACGTAAACATGCCCTTTCTCTCTCTCTCTCTCTCTCTCTCTCTCTCTCTCTCTCTCTCTCTCTCTCTCTCTCT